CCCTTAACGGCCTACACAAGATCAAAGAGGGTCATCACGTTCATACCCCTGTTAATAGGACTGGGAATCACTGCAGGAACAGGCACTGGCATAGGGGGAATTGCCTTATCAGCCTATTATCATGCCCAACTGACTGCAGATCTGACATATGATACCAGAGTAAGTAGCCAAATCCATAGTGGCCATGCAGGACCAACTAGATTCCTTGGCAGCAGTAGTCCTACAGAATCGAAGGGGATTAGATTTACTCACCACCGAAAAGGGGGGACTCTGTCTTTTCCTAAATGAAGAATGTTGTTTCTATGCAAACCAGTCAGGTATCGTCAGAGACATGGCCTGACAGTTACAAGAACGGGTAACATGCAGAAGACAAGGATTAATAAATTCCTTGGGCCAAAGGAACACATTTGGAATTAGGCTCCCTGGCTCCTTCCACTAGTAGGTCCCCACTTCCTATTTCTTTTAGCACTCATATTTGGCCCCTGTATCTTAAACCTCATAACCCATTTTGTAAGTTCCTGTTTAGAAGCTGCCAAGCTACAACTTTTGGCAAGCCAATATGTACCCCTAAAAAAAGGTAACCAGTCTGACCAACTCTAGTAAAAGATTTTCCTAGGCACTAGAAGAGGAGGGAATGAACTGGCATGCCATCTGGCGGAAGCCAATAGGGCCATAACAATGGTCGGAAGGAAGAGGGTCCCTGCCCAACCATTTTCCTCTCCTTGCAATATCCGCTTCTATGAATAGCTTGCTTAAGCCTCTGCCACCCCGCCCCCATGCTATACTGCACGCACACAAAAATGTAAACTGCACGTACACGGAAATGTAAACCTAATATAAGGCGAAGCTCACAAATAGATGTGGTCCAGGACTTAGGCATGAGCCTCCTGGGCCCGCCAGCGTAAATAAGCTTGTATTCTCACATTCCGGGAATGGTGGGAGTCAGTTCTGCTGCAACATTAACAACTGCAAAAGCACAACTCAGTCAGCTAGGCCAGACACACCGATCAAGAGCTTCTGGTTGCCTCCAGGAAACCTCGTTCTGCCTGATTTGAAGCAACAGAGTCTTACATTTATAAAAAATAAATCAGAGGAGTGTTTTTCTTCATGAGAGAATTCACTACAGAATTTCCTTAAAATGTAATTTCCTAGATTCATTTCGGATACAGCTTTACTTCTACCAATTTAATTTACTTAATAGTCAAGAACACCTCTTGGGAAAAATGATGAAACAGGTCATTGGGTGGGACACATTACCCAATGTTCAGGGTCAACCAGCAGTTCTGAAAACTACCCTAACTGCAATTTCATATATATATACACGCACATACACACATATAACAGATGGGACTTTATATCTATTTGCTACATATATAAATTTCACATATATTTTATATATATTTGCTATTTATAAGAGCTCTGATCCTCACCACAACCAATGAGTCAGGATTATTAAGTCAATTTTGCACATGTGGAGACAGGTTCGGAGAAGTTTAAAAGTCATGTATTGCTCACTGTGTGCTGGGCTGGGTGCAGTGACTCACACCTGTAATCCCAGCACTTTGAGAGGCTGAGATGGGATTATGGCTTGAGCCCAGGAGTTCGAGACCCCCATCGGTATAAAAACATTAGCGGGTATAGTGGCTCACACACCAGCCTGGGTGACAGAGAATGACACCCTGTCTCAAAAAACCAAAAATACAAAACCTATATAAAAGCAGGGGTCAGCAGACGACAGCCTGCTGGCCAAGAATGGTTTTTACTTTTCATTTTTTATTTTTATTATTTATTTATTTTGAGTTGAGGTATCACTCTGTCGCCCAGGTTGGAATGTAGTGGTACAATCTTGGCTCACTGCAAGATCCTAACCTCCTAAGCTCAGATGATCCTTCTGCCTCAGCCTCCCGAGTAGCTGGGATTATAGGCGTGTGGCACCAAGCTTGACTTCTTTTTTGATTTTTGGTAGAGACAAGGTCTGTTTGTCTAGGCTGGTCTTGAATTCCTGAGTTCAAGTGATCCTCTTGTCTTGGCCTCTCAAAGGACTGGGATTAGGTTTTTACAGTTCCAAAAGGTTGAAAAAAATACTAAAATAAAAATACATTAAGATGTGAAAATTATATAAAATCCAAATTCCCGTGTCTATAAATAACGTTGTAATGGAATCCAGTCCCACTAATTCATTTACACCTAGTCTATGGTTTGATGGGAGCAGAAGAAAGAGAGCACTTGGAGGAGGATTCTGAGAGACTGGCCTGTATCTGCGGGTCTGGGGAACAGTGGTCTGGTCTTATCTGGTCCTATGTTGGTGTGTGTGCCCTCCTACACACAGGAGGAGCTGGCAGGCAGCTCAGAGGGTTTCTATGAACTATAGAAAGAGCAGATGACATAGAATACAATTTAAAAATACAGCCCCGGCTGGGCTTGGTGGCTCAAGCCTATAATCCCAGCACTTTGGGAGGCTAAGGCGAGAGGATTGCCTGAGCCCACGGGTTTGAGACCAGCCTGGGCAACATGGTGTGACTAGGCCCCCATCTCTACAATAAATCAAAAAATTAGCTGGGCGTGGTAGCACACATCTGTAGTTCCGGCTACTTGGAAGGCTGAGGCGGAAGGATTACCTGAGCCCAGGAAGTTGAGTGGTAGCCGTGAGCGTGCCACTGCACTCCAGCCAGGGTGACAAGAGTGAGACAACAACTCAAAAAAATAAAACAAAAAGCATCACAGCGGATGCAGGAAGCAGCACACAGCAGCTCTTGCCTGCACAGACGGAGGGAGGATTCAGGCCGTAAATGACCCTGAACTCCAGAGAAAAGTTTTAACAATACTTCAATCCAGCCAAAGGAGATGAAATCCTTTAATAAATAAACACCAGCCTCCAAGCACATTGGGTCCAAGTGAGACGATTCCTTGGAAGGGTCAAAATCCACACCCATTCTCTAGCCTGGGTGGAATGGCAGGAGAGAAAGGACCCGACTAGTACATGTGGGGAAAGCAGGAAGACTCAGACTTTGGTAGCATATGCTATTCTGGAATTTCCTGGTGCTTGAGAGGACTGATGTTTATAACAGCCAAGTGGAATAGGATCTCCCCAGCCCATGGTGCTAATATTAAAAAACATTATAGTCCTGCCTGATATGGAAAAAAAAAAAATCATTTGATGGGGCCATATTATAGTTGTTTTATCTGTAAATCTGGCATATACAATTTATTTCTTATTAAATGGACAAAAGAAATACCAAAATATTCACTTGAAACATACTAAATAGTCATTTAAAACATGCTAGCTAACTAAGACTGGTTGTCTCTAGGGAGAGACCCTGGTTTGGGGGGACTGTTTTTTGGGAGGGGTGGGTGTCAGGGCTAGCACAAAAGGGGAGGAGGGAGATTCGTTTTTCACTTTTTTCCTTTTGTGTCAATTTAACTCTGTCTAATGTACTGGGTATTACTGACTCAAATATATCACATTTAGAGTAGATTAATCACATTTAGAGTAAATAAAAAAACCAGGAAAAGTTTTACATTTTTTTTTAGTCAGGACAGTGAGTGCCCCATCCAAAGAGATAAGATGATATTATTACAACTATTATTATTTTTTAATTTATTTTTTGAGTCGGGGTCTGATTCTGTTGCATAGGCTGGAGTGCAGGGGCACGATCATGGCTAACCACAGCCTTGACCTACTGGGCTCTGGTGATCCTCCCACCTCAGCCTCCCAGGAAGCTGTGACTACAGGTGTGTGCCAGCATGCCCAGCTAATTTCTAACTTTTTTTTGGTAGAGAGGAGGTCTTGCTATGTTGCCTAGGCTGGTCTTAAACAATCCTCCTGTCTCAGCCTCCTAAAGTGCTGGGATTACAGGTGTGAGTCACCATGCCTGGCCTAAGTTTTAATTTTAATGGCACTTTCGATCACTAACAAAAGGTATTAAATAATCAAAAATGAATTATCTCAGAAAAAACTAACATCCTAGACCAAATACAAAAATTGTGGTTCAAGACCAGCCCCGGCAACTTGGCGAGACCTCATTTCTACAATAAATCAAGAAATTAGTCAGGTGTGGTGGCATATGTCTGTAGTTCTAGCTACCTGGAAGGCTGAGACGGTCATGAGCGTGCCACTGCATTCAGCCTGGGTGACAGAGTGAAATTCCAACTCAAAAAAAACAAACACAAAAATACCCTTTTTAAAGTGGCAAATAACTCTTAATAAGCTTTTCCTTTATGGATAATGTAGCAAGTAATTTTTTAGTGTTGTGTCTGTAATATATTTTGTTTTACTATGCTTTTAATATATTTGGGGATAAATTTTAGGTAATTGATATTTCAGGCATATCGTACTTTATTTATTTAAATCCTTTATACATCTTATTTCATCTGATATGTTTCCATTGAGACTATTCAAGCATTGTTTCTTTTGGGGCTTTGTTTTTTTTTGAATCAGAGTCTCACTCTGTCGCCCAGACAGGAGTGCAGTGGCACACTCATGGCTACCCCAGGGTCGACCTGCTGGGCTCTGGCGATCCTTCCACCTCAGTCTTCCAAGTAGCCAAAACTACAGGCACATGCTACCGCACTCGGGTAATTTTTTATTTATTGTAGAGACGAGGTCTCACCAAGTTGCCCGGGCTGGTCTCAAACCCACGGGCTCAGGCCTTGCACCCACTTGCCCTGGCCTCCCAAAGTGCTGGGATGACAGGTTGAGCCACTGAGCCCAGCCCATCATCTTAAATCCTGTTATAACACTTCCAAATGCTGCTCTAACGCCATTGGTCTAATAAGCATTTATAAAAATACCCAACACCCTAGATGAAGAAAATCCTGGTGAAAATTAAACACTGAGACAAGCTTGAAGACCAGCTAGAATATGGATGCACATCTACTTATAACCACATTTTCCCCATTCTATGAAGAAGTCAAGATATCTACAGAAGTGACACAGGACCATAATGAGACTGGATAACTAACTCTGTGACCATGGACGTGTTTCCCTTGTAGAAACTTACCAGGGGTGTATCTTTTCCTCCCACAATGCTAAGACCAAGTCCTGAGCGTCCCTTGGATATTTCTATGATCATTTCCTGGCCCGGGACAATGGGACATGTCGCAGGATCCACTGACAAGGGCGCCTGGAAACCACCTAGAAAAGGATGAACACTGGGTGACCGGCTGGTAGGAGATGCAGCTCAGTTGAAACCCACCATGTCCTGGGGAAGGCGGGGCTTCAGTGGGCTGATCAATCCACTCTTTCGGCCAATGGCCGTGAAGGAGAAAGCTGAGTCATTGCAGCCTGTTCACCCAAGGGTGAAGCACGACATTCCCACAGCACTTTTGAGATTAAAACAATAATGCCCCCACCCCCAACCCATTCATTTTAGTTATACTTGAAAGTTTTCAAATCTTAAAATACATCATGAAAACCTGTGTAGAAAAATTTAAGATGATTAAAAGATTAAGTACACAAAGGCCTATGTTATAATGAGAATAAAAGCTGATATGGCAAAGGAATCTGAGTTACAGAATACCAATTAAGAAATGGTGCTTAGGCCAGGTGTGGTGTCTCACACCTGTAATTCCAGCATTTTGGGAGGTCAAGGCGGGAGGACTGCTTGAGCCAAGAAGTTCAAGACCAACCTGGGTAAGTTAGCAAGAACTCTTTACAAAAAATTTAAAAAACTGGCTGGGCACGATAGCGTGTACCGGTAGTCCCAGCTACTTGGAAGTCTGAGGTGGAAGGATCGCGTGAGCCCAGAAGGTTGAGGCTGCGGTGAGCTGTGAGTGTGCTACTACACTCCAGCCTGGGTGACAGAGTGAGATCTTGATTCAAAAAAAACCCAAAACCCCAAAAGATACAATGCTTGAAGAGTCGCCACTGAAACATAGCAGATGAAATAAGACATATAAAGGATTTAATAAAGTACGATATGCCTGAAATATCAATGACCTAAAATGTATCCCCAAATATATTAAAAGCATAGTAAAACAAAAAGTATTACAAACACAACACTAAAAAATTACTTGCTACATTATCCATAAAGGAAAAGCTGATTAAGAGTTATTGCCACTTTAAAAAAGGGTTTTTTTCTTATTTTTTTTTTTTAAAGTTGGAGTCTCACTCTGTTTCCCAGGTTGAAGTGCGGTGGCATGCTCATGGCCACTGCAGCCACGACTAAGTAGCTGGAACCACAGGCATGTGCCACCGTGCTCGAATAATTTATTTTTTGATTTTTTTGTAGAGATGAAGTCTCACCATGTTGCCCAGGCTGGTCTCGAACCCGTGGGTTCAGGCAATCCTTCTACATCAGTCTCCCAAAGTGCTGGGCTTACAGGCATGAGCCACTGCACCCAGTTGTTTTTTTGTTTTAATAATTGTTTCAGACTGGGTTTTTTTTCCCCAAAACTGAGGGAAAACAAGTGTTTACAGACTCAGAAAAGATGTCACTCGTTTATCCAGCATAAAATCTATATACATGCATTTTCCAGATAACTGAACCTAATCCTTTTAAAAATCAAAATGCGGCCGGGCACGGTGGCTCATGCTCGTAATCCCAGCACTTTGGGAAGCAGAGGCGAGAGGATTGCCTGAGCCCACAGGTTCAAGACCAGCCAGGGAAACTTGGCAAGACCCCGTCTCTACAATAAATAAAAAACAAAGCTGGGAGTGGTGGCACACATCTGTGGTTCCAGCTCCTGGGAAGGCTGAGGTGGAAGGATCGCCTGAGCCCAGCAGGTCCAGGCTGCGGTGGCCGTGAGCATGCCACTACACTAGCTTGAGCGACAGAGTGAGACTCCCACTCAAAAAAAAAAAAAAAACACTTAAAAATGTTAGTTTCAAGAGGCTCTCATACACACAATAATCTCCAGAAAATGTCATCTTTTCTGATAACTAAGTTAGATCACCATGCGTATTGATTCTCACATAATGCAGAAAAGGGGGATGACAGAGGGGCCATCTGCTGGTCAGCTGCAGGTAGTGCACAGAAGCGAAGAGACGTCCATAATGCCATTAAACCAGCAGTCTGGGAGGCCGAGGTGAGAGGCTGCTTGAGCTCAGGAGTTTGAAATCCACCCGGGCAACATAGCAAGACCCCGTCTGTATACACAATTAGCGAGGCATGGTGGCTTATGCTCTAGCCTGGATGACAGAGTGAGATCCTTTCTCAAATGAACAAAAAACCCAACACCGAAACACACAACAAAACAAAATAACACAAAACCCTATGTAAAAGCGAGTGTCCGCAGACCACTGCTCACAAGCCAAGAATGGTTTTTACATTTTCAAAAGATTAAAAAAAAGAAGAAAAATAACAAATAACATTTCGAACATGTGAAATCCAAATTCCAGTATCTACAAATAAAACCACAGCGGAACGCAGTTCCATAATTCATTTACACCTAATCCACAGAGACTAGCACACTACCGTGGCAGAGGTGACTAACTGCCACAGAGATTGTGTGGCCCATAAGCCTAAGATACTCGCTACCTGGTTCGTTGTAGAAAGAGTTTGCCCATCCTTGGTATAAAACAAAAAGAAGCCAGGCTGGGTGGTTCAGTTTGTAATCCCAGCGCTTTGGGAGGCTGAGGTGAGTGGATTGCCCAAGCCTGTGGGTAGGAGACCCACCTGGGCAACTTGGTGAGACCTCATCTTTGCAATAAATCAAAAATTAGCTGGGCGTGGTAGCGTGCACCTGTAGTTCCTTCCAGCTACTTGGAAGGCTGAGACGGAAGGATTGCTGGAGCCCAGCAGTTGGAGGCTGCAGTGGCTGGGAGCGGCCACTGCACTCAGTCTGGGTGACAGTGAGACTCCAACTCAAAAACAAAAACAAAAACACACACACAAAAAGAAAGAAACAGGCTCTAGGTTAAGTCTGCGTGGGTTTCGGTTCTAAGCAACAATCATGATCTCCGTGACAAAAGGGTTCACGTTTGAGAGTGGCACAGAGGCAAATCTGAGCTCCTGAGCAAGAAATTGATATGTGGGTAAAACTGAGACTCATGTCTCATCAGAAAACTGCACAGGGGGGCTCTCACCTGTAATCCTAGCACCTAGGAAGGCCGAGGCGGGAGACTGCTTGAGTCCAGGCGTTCAAGGTCAGCCTGGGCAACATAGCAAAACCTGCCTCTACAAAAATAAAAAATAAAAAAATGCATGTATCTGTGATCTAACAGGCTAATAGAAGAATTAAATGAACAGTGTGTGTGACATGACTGGTCTCGAGTCTGGTATACTGTAGAAATTCATATATATTCTGTTCCTGTCCACATGGAATTTATTAATCTAATGGCCTTCCAGCTAAAAGTGAGAAATTCAGTGCCATGACCTTAGTAACAATACAAAGTGTCATATCAAAAGTAGAATATCAAGGCCAGGTGTGATGGTTCACACCTGTAATCCCAGCACTTTGGGAGGCCAAAGAGGGAGGATCGCTTGAACCCAGGAGTTCGAGACCAGCTTGGGCAACATAGCAAGACCTCATCTCTATTAAATTGCAAACCTAATTTGTCTCTAAATCTTTTTGCAGTACATGTATCTCATACCACATTTCCTTCATACTACGTGGTTTTATGATTTTTAAAAAACCCTGTTCAATGGTGGCACAATTTCATGGATGGATGGATGGATTTGACTGATTGATTAAGCTAGGGTCTCACCCTGTTGCTTCAGTTGGAGTGCAGTGGCACAATTGCAGCTCACTGCAGCCTCTAACTCCTGGGCTCAGGTAATCTTCCCACCTCAGCTTCCAAAGTAGCTGGGACTACAGGCACATACCACCACATCTGGCCAATTTTCAAAATTTTTGTAGACACAGGATCCCACTATGCTGCACTAAGCTTGAACTCCTGGACTCAAGCAATCCTTCTGCCTTGGTCTCCCAAAATGGTGGGACTACAGGTATGAACCACCACACCAGCCTATGTTTTTATTTTTGTTTATTAAGGCAGGGTCTTGTTCTGTTCCCAGCCTGGAGTGCAGTGATGCAATTCTGACTCACTGCAGCCTTCTGCCACAGCCTCCCGAGTAGCGGAGACTATAGGTGTGTGCCATCACACCTGGTTAATTTTCTAATTTTTTTATAGACATGAGGTATCACTATGTTGCCCAGGCTGGTCTCCAACTCCTGGGCTCAAGCAAGCCTCCCACTTCAGCCTCCCAAAGTGCTGGGATTATAAGCGTGAGCCATGCCACCATGCCTGGTCCCATGGAAGCTTTTAAAAGTTTCTGCTACTTTTGAAAATGATTTGTGCAGTCTCCTGAGTGAGGAGAGAGAAAAAATGTGGCAAGAGATACTGGAGAAGGCTGGCTTTCTCTCTTCCATTTTTGCCTCACCCTAGCCAGTGCTGAGTCAGTCTTCGTATTTACTTCCCTCATAGAATTCAGCCCAAAACTTGGCTAATACCAAGCCCTCAATACATGCTGGTGAAATGGATGAGTAAATGAATTAAATCTCCACAAAGTAAATTGTAGGCTGATGAATTTCTTCTTTCTGTCTTATTTATTTATTCAACCATGAAAAGGAAAGGAAGGAATTTCTTTACTAGGTATAAATATGTGATGCCTATTATAAAACCCAACTGGTCTACAACCAGTCAGCAAACTTTCTTGGCAAAAGGCCAAGTATACATATTTTGAGTATTACCAGGTAGATAGTCTGTGCTGTGAAACTGAACTCTATTGTGATAGTGTGAAAGAAGCCATAGACAATATACAAACAAATGAGAGTCTCAATAAAACTTTACTTATGGAAACTGAAATCGGAGTTTCATATAATTTTCATGAAATAGTCTTCTGATTTTTTTTCAATCTGGAAAAAAATGTGAAAACCACTTTTAGCTTGCAGACCATATGAAAGACAGTCAGTGGGCTGGATCGGACCCACAGGCCACAGTTTGTGGACCACATTCATCAAGTGTCTTAGCACAAATTCAGTATTTTGAAATAATACCTGCTTGCCGAACTTTTTATAAGTTAATATTTATGACAAAAATGTCTAAAAGACAAAGGTTTTAGGAGTGATAAATGAATGCAGGGTCATGCTTTGGCATTGGTGAGCACGGTGTTTTAAAGAATCAATTATTTACTGATTCATACTGCATAAAAGCCAAGTTGAAACAGCCATCATTCATTCTGAAGTTCTATTTTCACCCCCCGTCAGCATAATTCAAGCCAGGAGTTTAAAGAGCGAATGTGAATGCCAATTTCTTTAAGCACTGAAAATTATGTCTTCAAATAGCTGACAGCAACCTGTACAGGAGCGAAAATGTGGGTTCAATATAACTTTTTTTTTTTTTTTTTTTGAGTTGGAGTCTCACTGTGTCGCCCAGGCTGTAGTGCAGTGGCACACTCACGGCCACCCCAGCGTCGACCTACCGGGCTCTGGTGAACCTTCCACCTCAGCCTCCCAAGGAGCCATGACTACAGGCATGCACTCCCATGCCTGGCTAATTTTTTGCTTTATGATAGAGACGAGGTCTACCAAGTTGCCCAGGCTGGTCTCGAACCTGAAGGCTCAGGCAATCCTCTCACCTCGGCCTCCCAAAGTGCTGGGATGACAGGCTGAGCCACCAAGCCCAGCCCAGTGTTATTTTTAAGAACTATTACTCACGAACATAGTCTTTTGGAGAGAATAGAGGAGATGACCCTTAAACCTTAGATCCAAATAGCACTTACTGAGGTCCTTTTCTGTTCTAGGACTTTTCTATTCAGCAAGCAATAGGCACTGGCAACGGCGGAGATGACTTACGCGTAGAAAATGGAGTGGACTGGCCTATCCCGGAAGCAGAGGAAGGACCCAGAGCCAGGCGACTCCTGGTCCAGCTCTTTCTAGGACATCACAATACTTTCCTCTAAAGTTTCACGAGCCAGTTCTGCTCGGGAAAGAATCCCACCTGTGAAGTCTGCATCTGCTGGACGGTATGTTAAAGCTGGTGCGAGTGGTATCTCTTGTGAACTGAAGGAGACTTTCGTAGGCTGTTTTTGCTGTTTCATCTGGCTGGCAGCCTATAAAATAAAGGAAAGTTAGACGACTGTCAAGACAGAGAGAACCATGAAGAGAAGACTTTAAAACTGGTGTATCATTACCTGACAATGGGGGGGGGTTGGTAAGAGGAAGTTTGGATGGCTTTGCCCATTTCCCATGCTTCCTTATGTAACTTCACATCTAAAATGCTTTGGTGAAGGGTAGATCAAGGTAGGGAGGAAGGATAAAAGCTGAAGATACTAGGCCGGGTGTGGTGGCTCAGGCCTGTCATCCCAGCATTTTGGGAGGCTGAGACGAGAGGACTGCCTGAGCTCAGGGGTTTGAGACCAGTCTGGGCAAGTTGGTGAGACCTAGTCTCTACAATAAATCAAAAAACTAGCTGGGCATGGTAGTGCATGCCTGTAGTTCCAGCCACTTGGAAGGCTGAGGTGGAAGGATCAACTGAGCCCAGCAGGTCAAGGCTGCGGTGACCGTGAGCATGCCACTGCACTCCAGGCTGGGTGACAGAGTGAGATGCCAACTTAAAAAAAAAGCTGAAGATACTCCATCATTGTGATCTGTGCATAAAGCTTGGGGGTAGGAAGCAGAACAAACATTTTTGCAACTTCTGCTCAACCTGACGAAATCAACATGAAATTCACTTATCTGTGCTGGGCCCATTGAAAAATAATCCATGCTGTAGGTGTTCTGAGCATACACCATTGTCCATCTTTTCTGGACAAACAATAGTCAAAGAAGCATTAGGTAGGTTAATTAAGCAACATGAGGGGCAGAAAAAGAAAACCAGCATCTACTGAAAGCCTACTAAATGCCAGGTACAGTGATTACATTTAATTTACATCAAGAATCTGTTCTCCATTCATCTTGGAAAACTAGTACCTGGAACACAGTATGGACTCAGTACACGTGTGATGAATGAATGAACACGTGAGCAAATGTATAAAGAAGAGCAAAACTGAAGACGGCAGATTGGGGTAAGAAATGAACTTGCAGTTCGAGGATCACACAAGGACCTTTCCTGTGTGAGCTTGGGAAAATTAACTTGCAGTTCTGAATTTTTGCTGACAATACCTCCAATGAATATTAGTATCAAAAAATGAAGAAAAAGCAAAAGGACTTCATGCTTGTTGAACAGGCAGTTAAGACATATAGGAAGCAACCTGACCTGCCTTCTCGATCTGTAGTTAGACAGAGACCCCATCCCCAGCTGGAAGATTCTGGTGGAAGCAGTGAAGCACCAGGCTGTCCCTGGAGTCTAGAAATAGGACCAAGGGAACCACTCCAGAGCTGTAACACCTCGAGATTCTTCAGTGGAAAGCTGTGTCTCATGACAAGGTATCATGCAGTATGCAAAAACCAAAACAGTGCCGCGCACTGTACATTTGTATAGTGCTTTCTAGTTTTCAAAAACATTTTTTTTTTTTTTTGAGTTGAAGTCTCACTCTGTCGCCCAGACTGGAGTGCAGTGGCCGCTCCTGCCCACCACAGCCTCGACCTGCTGGGCTCCGGCGATCCTTCCGCCTCAGCCTTCCGAGTAGCCGGAATTACAGGCGCGCGCTACCACGCCTGGCTGATTTTTTGATTTTTATTGTAGAGATGAGGTCTCGCTGCCCAGGCGGGTCTCAAACCCGTGGGCTCAGGCAATCCACTCACCTCAGCCTCCCAAAGGCGTGGGATTACAGGCTGAGCCGCCGAGCCCGGCTTCAAAAACAATTTTACATCCATGAATTTGCTCAACCATGTAAAAAACACTGAGAACCAAACAATATTACTCTTTTTTGCAGATAAACGGAGACACAAATGTCAAGTGACGTATCTGAGATCACACAGCTAATGTGAGGAAGAGGAAGGACTAGAAGTCAGTCGTTGAAGAATGCTACAAACTTGAAGTGTTTATCCAACAGCTTTTTGATGAGTCAGTGGAGTTTTTGATGAGTTTTGATGAGTCAGTGGATGCTGTTTCTTTTCTTCCTGCAGTTTTTCTATCACCACCATTTAATACTAACTGTATACTTCCTTAACAAGAATTATTCGACTACATATTGGGGTTAGCTTCAGAACATTGAACACGGAAATTCCTTGGATATCCAATTTCTCTAAGGACCACACTTCCCAGTCTCCTTGAAGGTGTGCCCAGAGACTAAGTCTCGGCCAATGGGATGTAAACAAAAGTGAATGTACAATTTTTAGGTGCTTTTCTCTTCTCTTAACGATCCCATCCTCCCCTTCTGGTTGGAATGCAGATCCATCTTAAACCAAAAAATGGATGCCATGATTTGAGGATGGTAGAGTAATCAAATAAGAATGGGATTAGAGGGGCATGGGTTTGTGACACTGAGAAATGCCATATCATCCCCAAAATGACATCCAGATTTTTTTTTTTTGAGTCTGAGTCTCACTCTGTCGCCCAGGCTGGCTTACAGCCACTGCAGCCTCAACCTGCTGGGCTCAGGCGTTCCTTCTGCCTCAGCCAAGGAGCTGGAACTACAGGCATGCGCCACCACGCCTGGTTTATTTTTTGATTCATTGTTAGAGACGAGATCTCACCAAGTTGCCCGGGCTGGTCTCAAACTCCTGAGCTAAGGCAATCCTCCCCCCTTGGCCTCCCAAAGTGCTGGGATTACAGCATTCTGGATGGCTTGAGCCACCACGCCCGGCCCAGATTCCTAGGTAAAAGAGAAACTTCTTGAAGCAACTGAGCCTGTATCCGGACTCATACAGTACTGACATCCAACTTACATTCTGTAACAACTCAAGAGAGAATATGCATTCTCAACAAAGCTAAATACAGGTAAGGAGTTCCTCGATGAAAAATTATGTGAATTTTAAAACAAGAAAGCTCGAGAGAGCAGACCCTACACCGTTATTTTTATGACAGCAGAGAACGGCTGTTGCTTCTCTATCCCAGTGCTAGGTAGCATCCAGTGAACAATAGGCAGTCAATAAGATATTGGTGGAGCTGAATTCAATTTAAAACTAAGTCCACAGAAAGCAAGTGAAATGCCCAAGCATATACATGTAGAAGCAGACTTTTTGTTTTGGTGTGAACGGGTACTCCCATGATTCCTTCATGGACACAAATCCAAATTCCTATGTATTAAAGATCAGAAAGAAAAGGCCGGGCTCGGTGGCTCAGCCTATAATCCCAGCACTTTGGGAGGCTGAGGTGAGTAGACTGCCCGAGCCTGTGCATTCGACACCAGCCTGGGCAACTTGGTGAAACCTCGTCTCTACAATAAATCAAAAATTAGCCGGGCGTGGTAGCACGCGCCTGTAGTTCCAGCTACTTGGAAGGCGTGGAAGGATCGCTTGAGCCCAGGAGGTCGAGGCTGTGGTGGCTGGGAGTGTGTCATTGCACTCCAGTCTGGGCGACGGAGTGAGACTCCAACTCAAAAAAAAGAAAAAAGAATGGATGTGCTATTGTATGTTACTAGTTAGATTATAAGATTTGGGATAAACTTTACGGGTCATCCAACCTAACTAAATCAGGGGTTCTCAGCCCTGTTTCAAAACAGAAACATCTAGGGAGCTTTTATAAATTATAGTTGCTGGGACCCCTATCACAGACCAGATAAACAGCCATCTGGGGTGTGGAGCCTGGCAAGTTTTTTAAAAGTTTATTTGAGACCTATTATCTAAAGTTAGACAATAGATTCTTAACCTAGGGATTCTAAGAGATCCACAGAGGGAATTTTGAGAGTTATAATACTTTCATGGTTTTTCTAGGGAAAGGGTTTTCTGGAGTGTTTTCCTAGAGAAAGGGCTTTCACTTCTTAAGGTCCTTGGGAAAGAAAAAAAAATTCACTACTCAAAAGAAGACAAAGCTAAGTTTGCTACCCCTAATTAGCTGTGTGACCACAGACAAGTCAGTTGACTTTTTCAACTGTAAATTGGTGGCAATGCATCCATACCTTCTCCAAGGTTGTTGTGAAGATTAAAGAAAAATAAATAAACCCATCACTGTGCCAGAAACAATTTAGGCTCAGTAGTTACTAAAGCTTTTGCATCCTTTTAAAAGGCATTAATGAATGATTGGCTGGCTTCTGATTGAGATCTGACTTTAGAGATGGAAAATTCCATTCCCATGAAGAGGCTCACCCCCTTTGGAATAGCTCAGAGGGCTGGGAGGTTTTCCATAATGAGCCATCAGTCCCACTGCAGACGTTGCTCACTGATCTCAGAGCCATTTCCCTTCTGCAGCTACAGAAAAGACGTCTAATCATTTCCACAAAGGAGGGAGAGCCAGACATTTATGTGCCCATTCTTCAGGAGGGAAAGGAAAAGTCAGATGATGGTTAGGGTTCACCCCAGCTCTTAAAAGTCCATGGCTATAAAATTTTAGAGATGTCTGATTTGTGCCTTGAGAAAAGGGTATTATACAAAGTATGAATACATTAATAGTATTTACAAATACATCAAGGCAACATCTGGTTTTAAATTTTAAATTGCTTACAGGTTTTCAATAATCTAAATTTGGTTACTTTTAAGGTAATCTTATACCTGTTTGTTCTTATTTAGGTTTTTAGCATATAATTTTAGAGAATTTTCAAGGTATTTTCCTTGACAATGTATAAAACATCCTAGCCGGGCTCGGTGGCTCAGCCTGTAATCCCGCACCTTTGGGAGGCTGAGGTGAGTGGATTGCCTGAGCCCGCAAGTTCGAGACCCACCTGGGCAGCGAGACCTCATCTCTACAATAAATCAAAAAGTCAGCCGGGCGTAGTAGCGCATGCTTGTAATTCCAGCTACTTGGAAGGCTGAGGTGGAAGGATCGCCGGAGCGCAGCAGGTGGAGGCTGCGGTGGCCGGGAGCAGCCACTGCACTCCAGTCTGGGCGACAGAGTGAGACTCCAACTCAAATAAATAAATAAATAAATAAATAAATAAAAATAAAACATCCTATGTTTACCAAAAACTCTAGTAATCTATAGTTCCTTAATCTTAAAATTAGCAAATACAGTAGTAATACAAATTTTAGTGGCACAAAAGCATAAGCTAGTACACAGGGATGAACATTAGCA